GGATAAGAGACGTTGATTGGATTGCTTAATGCATTGAATTGAAAATGCGGTGAAATATTGCTGTCATCAATTCATAGATTAGATTTTTTGTTGTTGGTCGCTGTAGAACGTTATGATTAGCATTTGTCGCAGTAGTATTAGTAGTGGATAGTGATTTCGAAAGGTTGCTATGGTTCGTCAAGTTTTTCAGTCTTGGTCAGGGAGGTCATTTGAAGTGGACCAAGTGTGAGTCGTCTGCCGGTAAAAGGAGTTGAATAATTTTAGAAGTGACTCGTGGATGAGTAAACTGAACTTGTGATTAACTTGCAGCCAATCTTATAGTTGGTTAGTTAACAAAGAAAGCGAAAAAGATTGTCTGTTGAGTAAAGGATGAACAAGAAAACGGAGTGGATAAGAAAACAGCGCACGTCATCGAAATTATTCAAATTGGCATCACGGAGAACGCATTCGATGTTGTTTAGTTCAAGTAAATTAATGCACGAAATTTTAATATTTTCTTGAAGAGAGGAAAAAGGAGCATTAAGAATCTATTATGCACGACCTTTAAAAGTAGCGTTTTATTCAATAATTTTTGTGTATATTTATGTGTTGATGTATGTATTGGTGTTTGGAAGGCACTTAGGAGAAGCCCCTGTGACGATTTCTGATCTGATGAATCATGTCCTCGTCGGGTGCAGGGGAATTTTTAGTCTTCACAAGTCTACCTACGGAGGAAGATTTCTTGAATGGGATTGCCTACGGGGACTTCAAAGTTTCCCGCCCCACAAGCGTCGCTAACTTTGAGAAATATAATTTTAAAAAATTTCTGAAACACTTTTGAACATGGTGACTAAAAGAGCTCAGGTTTTTCGTCGTCAGTGGACATAAATTGATGAAAAGATGACGAAAAATTTGATTGAAATGTCATCGCGACTTAGAGTTTGGAGAAATCTGTGTAACCGAATGAATTGATGTGCGGTGGAATGTGAATGAATTGGATGGAGAAACCAATGCCCATTGCGTGGTTTACAAACTCAGAACTGATTTTTTTATTGTTATTGTTACCGGTAAAATATTTGTTGTGCTCTTTCATTGCTGTTACAGTTTTCACAATAAACGCTTATAACCAGTGATGCCAGAATTTGAGAATGTTAATTCAGCCGAGTCCACGGGTCGGCAATTCTGAAATTTCGGTTCCAGCTCCAACTTTGGGCTTCATCTTTTTAAAACGTTCGTCTCCAAACTCAGCTTCAGTTCAGCAATTCTAAAATTCCGATTCCAGCTCGAGTTCCGGCCTTGCCGATTCTTCAGGGTTTCGGCTAAAAAAGTTTTTTTGAAGTTGCGGATCTTGGGCATCACTGCTTATGACAGGTACATTGCAGTGTTTTATAATGAATAAATTTTTTGATGACGAATTACTGATATTTACTTACTCGCGTTTTATGGGCGCCATCGTGGGCGCGGTGGATTTTCTGGGAACAAAAGCGCTTGCGACTTATGGTAAAGTTTCATGCTTCCACGGGAGATTTCTGCAGGGGAAGGCGGAGGGGGCGATTTGGTTGAAAGTCTATGCAAAGGTGCTTGCACACCTCGATTTCAGGCCATGTCAGATGCGATCTCTGCTCACATGCTTTCACTCCGTTATTGTGCAACATTTCACCGATTCATGTGAAAAGCGAGCTGAGCAACTGATCAACAGTCACATGTGATGAGGTCATATGTCGCGTGACTTATGATCATAAAACCACGAAGATATAAATCTGTATACGTGTTTTCGAAAAAAAATTGAGCACAGCTTTGAGTAACTTGGTGAATAAAGAGATTCAGATTTGGTTAATTCTAGGAGTGGATTGAAAGATTCAAACTTGATGAGTCGCAAATTGAATTCTAATTTTTCATAGTGATCATGAAAGTTTCGCTTTGGTGATTTAATTGTTGCTCAATGTCAGTTAGTTTGAACTTTGACAGTTAGTTTGAAATTGATAAAATTTGATGGGAAAGGTATACATACAGCGAACAAATGAATATTGCTCATGACGCATTCAGGCAGCGTAATCACATTTCGTGTTTGTATGTGGATGTTTAGCATTGGCGTCAGCCTGCCCTTAAGCACGATAATCAATTAATGGATATAGGGTGTTGCTTTACTTTATTCTCCATCACTTTCCCGATTAACAACTCACATTCATGCCTTAAAATGTTGCGTATCATGTGTTATTGCAGTCGTCGACGATTTGTTTCAGCCTTAACGCCGGCTTGAGTTCTCAGGTCCAATCTCAAAGCCCAGCCGTAAGAATCAGCCTGAAAGCTGTAGGTAAATAAGAAGCAACCAGAGTAGCATTCAGTTATTAATGAGATGCTCCAAGTATCTGAAAGAGAGTTCATACTTAATTTATTCATTATATTAAACAATTTAGATGTTCCGGTTTTACATAATGATCATTAATGATCATTTATTCGCTTCTGAATGCTTCAATCAAGAGTAATCGAATAATTCGATCTGTCCAATTGATATTCTCTTATATTCATACCGGCCACTTTCTTCGACGTCTGTTGATATTTTTACTTCGTTAATATTTATTATTATTACTGTGATTATCATTAAAATAGTCATTATTTTTCGCATTATTATTTATACGATTAATACGCAACATTACTTTGAATAAAAGGATTATCAAATTAGATTTTTAATCGACGTTAACAATCACAGACGGCGATTATACGAAGTGAATGTGTTCACTGAGAATTTGCGATCGCAAAACTGCCATTGATGAAAGATACAATATGGATGAATGAATAAATCGATTTGTTTATGAATTATTACTGAACTCACTCCTATTCACTTACTTGCTACCTCATTACTACTAGTAAATGCTTCTTTTTATAACTCCTCAAATTATAATAGTAATAATGATAATTAGAAGTAACACTAACTTCTATTGTGTGTATGCCGTGTTGATCGCGCTTTTCTTGCGTTGTCGTTCAAGATTTCTTCTTCTGTTATTCCTACAATAACAGCAACAACAACTGCAATAATGATAATGATAGTAATAATGATATTAACAATGATAATAATAATAATAATAATAATAAATAATAAATAATAACAATAAATAATAATAATAAATAATAATTATAAATTAAAATAATAAATAATAATAAATAATAATGATAAATAATAATAATAATAAATAATAATAATAA